TCACAGGAGAAAGTACCCAAATAATAAATAGTACTGATAAAGTTAGTATAATTCTTGGAAGTAAACAAGTTATAGTAAATAAGATTTATAAATATGATAAATTAGAGTGTGATATATTATTAGGAAATGATTTGTACAACAATTTCAATATTATAGGCAAAATAATTATATGATAATACTACAAACACCTTGTGGACATTTATTAAAAATTTAAAGAGATTTTAGACCTTATAGAGTTCAGCCAGCCCAGCGTGGTAATAAATGGGAGAAAAAATCAATAATATTTAATAAAATAAAAAATAAAAGAATATTGTATAAAAAAGTTTTGAAAATGGGAATAGAAATAAGTATAGAAAAAATTATTGAACAATTAGAAAAAGTTTATGGAGAAAAATCATTGTTATTTTGGAAACCACATCACTCTAGAGCTAAAATAGAATTGATCGAAAATGTTATAATAAAAGTCAGACCAATGATGTATACTATAGAAGATACACAATAATTCAAAAATCAGATAAAAAATGTTAGAACAGAAACTTGTTAGACCTAGTAATGGACCTCATAGAAGTCCAACTTTTATGGTTATAAAACATTCTGAACAGATTAGAGAAAATGCTAGAATGGTTATAAATTATAAAGAATTAAATAAATATACTAAATTTGATGGATATTTTTTTACCAAATAAAGCAGTTTTAATAAACTTACAAAAGGAAAAAATATTATTCTAAATAAGACTGTAAATCAGGATTTTGGCAAATAAAAATGAAAAAAAATAGTATACAATATACTGTATTTAATATACCTCAAGAAAAATATGAATGGTTAGTAATGTCATTTGGACTAAAAAATGCACCACAAATATATCAAAAAAATGGATAATATATTTAAAAAGTTTAATAAATTTCTAATTGTTTATATATATGATATACTGATATGTTCTAACGGTAAAGAATAACGTATGAATAATTTAATACAATTCATAAATGAATGTAAAAAAGAAGGAATTGTACTTTCTAAAAATAAATCTATAATAGAAAAATAAAAGATAGATTTTCTTGAATTATCAATAGATAAAAGAGGAATAAAATTGCAGACTCATATATCTGAAAAACTCATATATCTAAAAAGATAGAAAGTTTTTCAGATAAATTAGAATCCAAAGAACAAATACAAAATTTTTTTAGGATGTTTAAATTATGCAGAAGGTTTTATTGAAAATTTTTATAAGAAAAGCCATAAAATACAAATTTTACTTAGAAAAATAAATACTAAAGGATAGAATGAAAAACATACAGAAATATTTAAATCATTAAAAGAAGAATGTAAAAATTTACCAAAATTAAGATTACCAGATGAAAAAGATAATTTGATTGTCAATACTGATGTCTCAAATAAATATTGGACATCAATATTAAAAAACAGATTTAAATGAAATTTGTAGATATTCAAGTGAAACTTTTAATCAAGCAGAAATAAATTATACCACTCATAAGAAAGAATTATTAGCAATTATTAGAGGAATAAAAAAGTTCTCATTATTTTTGTTATCCAAAAAATTTATTGTTGAAACTGATAATTCTCAAGTTGCAGGATTAGCCAGGAATAAATTACTATCAGAATCTCAATACAGAAGACTCCATAGGTGGCAAGCTTATTTAACATTTTATAATTTTGATATAGTTCATGTTAAAGGACTTAGCCCTTGTTTGGTACCCATTTTTCCCAAAATACATTTTTCTCTCTCTTATTTTCAACCATACACTCTTCAATAAAATAATATTACACGCAAAACTAAAACTTTTCCTTATTTTTTAACCACACATTTTTCAACAATCACTATTACAAAATGCATTTTTACTATGAAAATGAGAAACAAACATGCTCTTAATAATTTTCTTGCAAATTTTCTCAGCAGAAATATAGAATTTGCTGATGGATAAAGCTAAGGTCATAGAGTTATACCAATCTATCCTACATATACAAAAAATGATAGATTTTCTTAAAGAAAAATTTGAAGATATAAATGCTGGAGCAACAGATCTCAGAGATGTTCAACTCAAATATAAAAATATTGTTGAATATCACTATTGAGCATCATAAAGAGGCCATAGAACTCAAAAATCAAGTTGATGCTATTGCAACACAACTAAAAGATATACTATCTGAGACAGATATAGCAAAGAGCTCAGAAATGAATTTTCCAAATCAATACCAAATAGGGACAGTTGGAAGCAGCAGTAGACCCAGACGTGACAATATATCAACTGATAAATAAAGATTCCATTTCAGTATCATCAACTAAAAAAGTGATGATACATGGAGATAAAATAGATTCCAAAACAATCAATATCATAGACCAAGAAGATAAAATCCCTTTGGATCCAAAAGAAGAAGAATATATTGAAATAGTCAGAATTGCTTATGAAATAAAAATGAGTGATTCATATTTCATCTCTCCGAAAAATAATGTTTATCCCAGAATAACAGCTATAGAAGGAGGAGACATTTCATTTATAAAAATTATGGCAGACTATGGATTTATGGATTTGATATATCCAGGAAATGATTTGATAGAAATTTTAAAATTTGATGATATATTCATAAAAGAAGTATCCGAATTTGCCAAAGGACGAAGAATATATTTGAAATCTTATTCAATAAGTCCTGAATATGATGAAATTGTTTATTATCCAGTTGAACATATAATATCAATTGGGTATGTAGCAGCCAACTTTCAAATAGATGTGGTGAAAAATGATAGAAAAGTTCCAACAGTGACAAAATCATGGATCAGACATAGAAAAGCACTGACTTGGAATTAAAGTCATATACAATACTACCAAAAATTTGTTTGACAAAAAATTCTCATGCTTGTGCCAATATGAAAACTGGATGTTGGTATCAAATCAATAATACGGAAAATCAAAAATATTGAAGGATTATATTACAAGATTCGAAATACATCAATTTTCAGGATATCCTACCATTCTAAAATAATCTTGCCAGCTAAGGGAGTACCCCAACTGCATGTGAAAGAAGAAGACAATAATAGAGCACCTTTGACAATTATATGGAGGATAATAATACAACTGCATGTAAAGACAGTAAAGATAAATGACAATAATAAAGAAAGATACTCTTTGGATAAAAAGTTGAAGAAACATGTGAAAATATAGATCCAATGAAAAAAATAATAGAGAGGCAAGTGTGCCTTTGCTAATGTACTCAATGATATAATAGAGTTTCATAAACCTATATAAATAGAGACATTGTAATAGATAGAAATCATCTTGAAATCTCGAATTGTAATTAATAGCCACTCCTAAGCCATTTTTAGTTTGAAAAACCAATTTTTCTGAA